CACTAGGCCTGGAGCATGCTGCTAATTCAGCCCATCTAGTAAGTGTCAACCATCTTATTTGCAAACTAGTGAAGATAGGGAATCTCAGCTCAGTATTTGGAAATAAGTTTATTTAAAATATGAGTCACATGAGTGATATAGATGAAATATAATTATGTTGCCTAGCTTTGGAGTTAACTGCCAAAATTGCTTTAAATTATTGACATTCAGGAGATCTTGTCCCTTACTCCTTCTCCAGGGTACCATGTATGTTTCTCTTAGGGTCCTTGTTTCCTAGCTTCTCTGCTGTTGTGGTGGTGTGGATTGTAGGCAGGTAATCCTTTGCTCTATGACTAAAAACCATATATGAGTGAGTACATACCATGTTTGTCTTTTTGTGACTGGATTATCTCACTCAGGATGGTTTCTTCTAGTTCCATCCATTTGCCTGCGAATTTCAAGATCCCATGTTTCCCCACACACACCCTCCCTGCTTAATAGTACTTCATTGTGTAAATGTACCAAATTTTCTCCATCTATTCTTCAGTTGAGGGGCATGTAGCTTCCTTCCAGATTCTGGCTATTACAAATAATGCTATGATGAATGTCCTTGAACAGATGTCCTTGTTGAAAGAATGTGCATCTTTTGGGTATATGCCTAAGAATAGAATTGCGGGATCTTGTGGGAGACTGATTCCCATTGTCCTAAGGAATCACCATACTGATTTCCAAAGTTGCTGTACGAGTTTGCAGTCCCACCAGTAGTGAAGAACTGTTCCCCTTTTTCCACATCCTCTCCAGCATAAGCTGTCGTTGGTGGTTTTGATTTTAGCCATTCTGACAGGAGTAAGATGATATGTCATAGCTGTTTTGATTTGCTTTCCCCTGATGGCTAAGGATGTTGAACACTTTCTTATGTGTCTTTCAACCATTTTAGATTCCTCTATTGAGAATTCTCTCTTTTTCTTCTTTTTTTTTATATTTTAGAGGCACTCATATTTACATATCCATCCCCCCATTCCCTTGCCCTCCCATCCTCCCATATTCCTCCCAACCCACCCCAACCCATTGCCACACTTCCTCCCCAGATATAGAGAGGCCCTCCACAGGAGACTGTCAAAGTGTGTCATATCATTTGGGGGAGGACCTAGACCCTCCTTGCTGTATCTGGGCTGCAATAGTATCCCTCCATAGGGAATGGGCTCCCAAAGTCCATTTGTGCTCTAGGGATAAACACTGGCTCCACTACTAGAGGTGCCATAGACTCTCTTGGCCTCCTAGCTGGCACCCACATTCAGAGGGCTTGGTTCAGCCCAATGCTGGCTTCCCAGCTTTATGACTAGGGTCTCCATGCTCTCACTAGGTCTCGCTGTTTCTGCGAGTTTCTCCAGCACCCTCTTGGCTCCTTTGCTCATCCCTCCTCCCTCTCCACAACTGGATTCCTGGATTATGGTTCGGTGCTTAGCTGTGGGTGCCATTTCTGCTTCCATCAGCTACTGGATGAAGGCTCTAGGAATGGTAACCAAGGTAGACATCAATCTCATTATAGGGGAAGGGCATCAAAGGCAGCCTCTCCATCACTGCCTAGATTCTTAGTTGGGATCATCGCTGTGGATCCCCTAAAATTTTCCCTGTGCTGGACCTCTTTCCAAATCTGTACTGTCTCGCTCTGTTAAGGCAACTTCTTTCTTGCCCTCCTCTATCCCTCCCCTGTCTAAGTCCTCTTGTTCTCCTCCGCCCTCGCCTCTCCCCTTCCCACTTCCTTCCTCTCTCCCCCTGTGCTCCCAATTTGCTTAGTCCTTCTTGTCCCCCTCCTCTTCTTTGAGGGTATATGCAATTTTCTCTTGGGGTCTCCTTGTTTCCTAGCTTCTCTGGCAGTGTGGATTGTAGGCTGGTAATCCTTTGCTCTATGACTAAAAACCATATATGAGTGAGTACATACCATGTTTGTCTTTTTGTGATTGGGTTACCTCACTCAGGATGGTTTCTTGCGGTTCCATCCATTTGCCTGCGAATTTCAAGATCCCATTGTCCCACCCCCCTTAGTAGTACTCCATTGTGCAAATGTACATTTTCTCCATCCATTCTTCAGTTGAGGGGCATGTAGGTTGCTTCCAAGTTCTGGCAATTACAAATAATGCTGCTGTGAACATAGTGGAACATATGCCCTTACTGTATGACTGTGCATTCTTTGGGTATATGCCCAAGAGAGGAATTGCTGGATTTTGTGGTAGACTGATTCCCATTTTCTTGAGAAACTGCCATACTGATTTCCAAAGTGGCTGTATGAGCAATGGAGGAGTGTTCCTCTTTCTCCACATCCTCTCCAGCATAGACTGTCATTGGTGTTTTTGATTTTAGCCATTCTGACAGGAGTAAGATGGTAATTCTCTATTTTGTCCTGTACCCCACTTTTTGATTGGATTATTTGGTGTTTTGGTGGCTAGCTTCTTGAGTTCTTTGTATATTGTAGAAATAAGCCATCTGTTAGATGTGGGTTTGGTGAATACCTTTTCCCATTATGTGGGATGCTGTTTTGTGTTGTTGACTGTGTCCTTTGCCTTACAGAAGCTTCTCAGTTTCAGGAGGTCCCATTTATTAATTGTAGATCTCAGTGTCTGTGCTACTGGTGTAATGTTCAGGAAGCAGTCTCCTGTACCAATTAATTCAAAGGTATTTCCCACTTTGTCTTCTAATAGGTTCAGTGTAGCTGGATTGATGTTGAGGTCTTTGATCCATTTGGCCTTAAGTTTTGTGCATGACGATAGACTTGGATCTATCTTTAGTCTTCTACATGCCAGCATCCAGTTATGCCAGCACCATTTGTTGAAGATGTTCTCTTTATTCCATCGTATAAATTTAGATTGTTTGTCAAAAATCAGGTGTTGGTAGATGTGTGGGTTATTATCAGGGTTTTCAACTCTATTCCATTGGTCTACCTGTGTATTTTCATGCCAATTCCAAGATGTTCTCAGGACTATAGCTCTATAATAGAGCTTGAAGTCAGGGATGGTGATGCCTCCAGACATTCCTTTATTGTACAGGGTCATTTGGGCTATCCTTGGACTTTTTCCATATAAAGTTGAGAATTGTTCTTTCAAGGTCTGTGAAGAATTGTGTTGGGATTTTGATGGGGATTGCATTGAATCTTTAGATTGCTTTGGGCAAGATTGCCAATTTTACTATGTTGACCCTACCTATCCAAGAGCATGGGAAATCTTTCCATTTTCTGGTATCTTCTTTAATTTCTTTCTTTAAAGTCTCAAAATTCTTGTTATACAGATCTTTCAGAGGGGAGAGGGAGTGAGAAGAAAGAGGAGGGGAGAACAAGAGGGCAAAGGAGGACATGAGAGAGCAAGCTTGAGTCAGGGGAAGAATAGAGGAGAACAAAAAAAGAGATACCATAATAGAGGCAGACATTATAGGTTTAAAGTGAAATCTGGCACTAGTGAAATGTCCAGAGATCTACAAGGTTGACCCCAACTAACAATCTAAGCAATAGCCAAGAGGCTACCTTAAATGCTCTTCTCTGATAATGAGACTGATGAATACCTTATATGCCATCCTAGGGCCTTCATTCAGTAGCTGAGGGAAGCAGAAGCAGACACCCACAGCTAAACACTGAGCTGAACTCTGGAATCCAGTTGCAGAGAGAGAGGAGTGATGAGCAAAGCGGTCAAGACTAGGCTGGAGAAACCCATAGAAACAGCTGACCTGAACAAGGGGGAGTTTTTGGACCCCAGACTGATTGTTGGGAAACCAGCATAGGACTGTTCCAGACCCCCTGAAAGAGGATGTCAGTTTGGAGGTCTGGTTAATCTATGGGGCCTCTGGTAGTGGATCGGTATTTATCCCTAGTACATGAATGGACTTTGGGAGCCCACTCCACATAGGGGGATATTCTCTCAGGCTAGATACACAGGGAGGGTCTAGGCCCTGCTCCAAATGATATGACAGACTTTGAAGATCTCCCATGGAAGGCATCACCCTACGTGGGGAGCAGAAAGTGGATGGGATAGGGGGTTGATGGTGGGCAGGGGAGGAGGGGAGAGAGAACTGGGATTGACATGTAAAACAAGCTTGTTTCTAATTTAAATAAAAGATTACTAAAAAGATATTGGGTAAATTCAGTTGATATTGTTAATTCTTTAAGAATACCACCAAATGTAAGCTCTTTAGAATAAATAATTTCCACTATACACAGAAACTAATATAACCTAGATATAGACTAAATACCATGGTACTAGAAAAATAGTTATTTCTGATTGTCATCACAAGGGACCGAGGTGCCCATGACATCTAGAATAACTGCCATCTAGTGGAAATCAAGGACACAGCTGAGCATCCAGCGTGATTCTCAGTGATGCCAACATTAAGTTAGATCTCCAGGCTACACTGATTTGAGTCTCTACATATTCCAAATGAAACAATCATGCATGATATTCTCTCTGATCTTGTTTGGGTGAGGAATTTGAACTAATATAAACCCCAACCACAAAGGGCTCTTCCTACAAAAGCCTGGATACACTCTTCTTTTCAAATGGTGCTATGACATTTGCTAGACATGAAGTTATTTCCACTTGTCTCCGAGAATAAAGTACAATTTTAGGAAATGATTTCTTTGTTGTTCTAAAGGTCACAGGGACCTTGCTCTTCTCTTTGACAGTAAATAAACATGAGTGCTTTGCCAAAGCTAGTACATTTAGATGTTTTGTAAGCCTAATGGAGCAATCAGAAATTGTACCTTTCATGTCTTATTTATCTCACATTTAAACATATGCTAAAAACAAGGGAAAAGACTTCTGCCAGTGTGAGAGTCCTCCCAGCCACCAGCAAGTGGCTCCATTTAGCTTACATTTCAAACTCATGGCAAGAATAGGTACTAAACATTGGGTAACTATTTGGGGAATGTTGAAGGTTATTAAGTTCTGAATAACAGAGTCACTCAAGCTTTCCCACCAGGCTTTTCTCAGCAGTTGAATATATCTGGATCTTATTCTGGTTTCTCGTTCTTTTTTTAGCTTCCCGAAATGACTCATGTTCAAACACAACGACCCTGGATGACGTTTCTCCTGCAGAACGTTGGATTGATCCTGGGCTGGCTTTCCCTTTTGCTCTTAGCTGTATATGAACAGAATATTAGAGTATAAGTTAGGATTCTCCAATGTCTTCCAAAATAAATTTATATGGTAATATCTCATTTCTTCCATGTTCTCTATGCTGATCACTAAGTTCAGTATTTTTGTTTTAGGCAAAAGATGTGTCTTTTAACTTATTAATTATGTATTGAAGTTTTTCAGAAATATATAAAATGAGTCTGTCTTGCACCAAAGTGTTTATTTTTGTTTCTGACACTGTGATGGACCACAGTAATGGTTAGTCCTAGTAAATTATGAATTCTAGTCAACTGCAAAAATATTTCCCTTCAAAGAATGTTTATTTGTTGTATTTGAAGTAGACAGGTGCCTATGGGGCTAAAAATCAGCTGCAACAGTTTTGTGGGTTGTTTATGTTAATAATACATTTGTTTTCTGTGTGATTTATAAACTTTAAGCAAATAGGATAATAGAAATATAATAAAGGCTAGTTTTAATGTGATGGTTTCCAGTACCTTTTGTTACTTTCTATACACATCCTCTCTTTCAAGCTGGGACAGCATGGTCACCTGGAAGAATCCAGTCCTTCATTAGCAGTATATATTACGAAACAGCCTAGGAAGCCCAAAAGACATTGCAAAGTATCTCTCTACACTCCTATAAAAGTCAGCATATCTGTCCTAAGTAAGAAGAGTTTGCATTATTTTGGGGGTCACCTTAAATGGGACATTAGTAGGTGAATTCATGAACAAGGTACATTATGGATAACCTAGAATATTATTAAAATAGAAAACAACCCAAGCTTTAGTCATTTTGTCCCTTGGAACATGGGTGCCTATTTTTTTTTCTTACTTTTAATGATGGGCCTTGACAAGGGAAAAGGTTACTTTGTTCTGAAGGTGACTCATGGCACTCCATTATATATCTCTCCTACCTCTTACTCACTAACTGGTAAACATTCTTTATCATGCCCCAACTCAAACATAATCCTTTAAAAATACTTTACTTTGGTTTTATGATGAAATGGACTTCTCCAGCTGGTCACCTGGAGAAGGTCACAATCATCCTTTGTGATTCCTTAAAGACTTTGGGTTATTGTGGATGAGAGCTCATGGAACAGCTAAAGAGTTAACTGTAGAGAGCACAGATAGATGGTTTTGTCAGACCTTCTACTCTGTGGGTCTGAAAGAATCTTGAGACCTTGACAGAGAACTGTCAGGCATTGCTAAAGCAGTTGGCTGTGGCCAGACTCTGGGTCACTGATGGAAGCAGTCATATTGACCAGGCTTTGAGAAAAAGCAGAGCACAGGTCTATGACCCATGAGCTGTGTGCTTTTGACTACGTTGCTTAACACTTCTGTACTTGGGTATTTTTCCTGAGAGGGAAGTAGACTTGACACATAGAGCCTCAGCCTTCTGCTTTTGAAGAGTTAGCTAAACAGAACAAACACTCCTTTGTACCAGCCATCCTGGGGGAAAGGATGCAAACAAGAAGCACCAGACACTATCTACATTTGTGTTCCAGGGCCCAGATTCTGATTTTAACATTTAGCCATTATTTATGTTAACTTAATTGGAACAGCTCTGATGGATGACTATGGTCCTGGTTCAAGGTTAGGCAAGTCTTGGATGAATTAAAATTTGAGATGTGAGCTGTATACTCTAGAACTTTCAATTCAGAGTGATTTGGCTACCAGTGGGGTTGGGAATGTCGTGCAGAGGGGCTTGAATGGAGCCATCTCTCGGGACACATTCTGAGTACTTTACAAGCTTGTCACTAGTATTCTCTGATTGAAAGTAGAAACCGAGCTACTCAGAGGTCATCCTAAGGATAGTGGGACATAGTAGCTTCTGAGGGCACCTTTTTGGGTTCTCCTTTTCTCCCTTTCACCTTATCTTTGATTTGTTGATAATCAAAATTGTGTTCCAGATAGCACACCCTAACTAATCTTAGAGTTGCTAAGCTGGGCTGGGGAGATGACTCTGTAAAATTCCCTTGCCACATAAGCCTGAGTTAGATCCCAGATCACACATAAAAGGCCATGTATGGTGGCATGCATCAGTACTCCCAGCCTTCATGTAGCAAGATGGGAAACAGAGACTGGAGAACTTCGCATTCATGGGCCATCGAGCCTGGAGTGACAGACATGGCCTCCGAGAAAAGTGAAGAAGAGAAACATTCCCCAGATGTGTGCTCTGGTCTCCTATAGTGTACCAATATTCACACACACTTTTTTTTTAACTAAAACATTTGTATTCCTCAAAATTGAGTGATAATAATAAAAATACAATGATAATTCTGTACCCTCTAGAAATGAACTAAGTCTAAATTTGGGGTGAGCTGACAGTGGTTTCCCTTTAGGCTAAATTTTATTTTCCTTAAAAGCAGATTTTTCAATAATGTTGGAGAGTGTCTGTTTCTTAGGACTCAATTTAGGTTTCTACCATATTTCTGCTTGGTGATTTGTTTGTTTCCTCCTCCCCTTCCTTCTTCCTCCCTTCCTCCTTTCTTTTTTCTTAAATCACTGAACTAGAAATGTTGCTGGAGAAGATCAGAGTGGCCCATGTCGTTTTCTTATTTAAGCATCTATCATTTACTGACAGGTCTGTTTTTAGGGACAGAGGAATTGACCCATGGTGCTGTGATGCTTTGCAAAGTCTGGGAAAAATGGCTTCACTGTTGAGAGCTGAAAGGACCGGGAGTCTTAGGTAAATGTGTCTATGACCTGTGACCACTCCCAACTGTTCTGCCACTCTTTTGCTTGCAGGAGAGAATTTGGATTTCTTTTTGAGTTCTTTTCTCAAGACACAGCACCGTTACAATGTTGTTTCCTCTTTGGACTGAAGATAAAGGTCACAGGATGCTAATTACTAAGATTATTTTGGGCTCATCGGTTGTGAAAGTGAGATCTAAGTTCAAATCCCAGGTATACTCCTAGGAACAGCAATTTCTTTTTTTCCCATAAAATAAAGTTGTGGTGATGTTAATACAGAATACTGCTTATGAAACACTTCATACAGAGCATGAAAATATTAATAATAATTGAAAATATTAAATACCCCTCCTTGTTGATATTTTGTTTTGTCTGATAGCTTCTACTCTTTCTTGGTTCTGTACACTTCATCAAGAAAATGCTTTTCTGTTGATGTAGAAAGGGGATTCAGCCTTTCTATGTACCTGTGCCCCTAGGCTTGAGGCTCCACAGTAGAGAGCTTGTTTGCTTAGCATGTAGAAGGCCCTAAGTCCAATTCTCAGCATTGAGGTAAAATATTAAAAAGCTATATCTATCTATAATTTTCTATAAAGCCTTCAAACCATCACTATCACCCTGGATGGGCCTCATGTGTGTGTGTGTGTGGGGGGGTGTGGGTGTGGGTGTGGGTGTGTTTCACTTTGACTCACTTCTAGAGATGAATAAGAGATGAATCTCCTTTGGCTCGCACCACTCTGCACATCCTCCCAGGCAGGCTCCATCCCTGTGTCATAATACTTAGACTCAGCGGGTATCCTTTTCACTTTTCTTTCTCTCACACAATAAGTGAGAACCTATTGTGCTCCACTGCAGTTAGACTTCTGAGGATGAATAATGGAACCTGCCTGAGAAGAACTTGTCAGAGGTCATGGCTGTTGTCACGACTTGATTTTGACTCAAGGAAAACAAAGCAAAAAATATAGTTCAACTGAACCTCCCTGTTCCAGCACACCTGCTGATGGATTGAAGCCAGTCCCCAAAAGAAACAGGAAAGCAGAGCATTGGCTTAATGGAGCCCATGTCTATTTAGATAAGGCAGTGTCCTCAAGCTAAGAGTACAAACAGCCTGTACTCTTAGGAAAGGTACCCTGGACTGCAGGGGCTGAACATATCCCAAGAAAATGTCCTTGAGTGTGGGGAAATAAGCTTGAGGTTGTTGTGTACCTTTTAAAATGCAAATGAGAGAGGAGTTTTGCTCTTACCATCCACACCACCACGTCTTTAGCTGATCTATGCAATATATCTGGCCCAATGTTCATGTCCCCAAGATGGATTATCTGCTTCACAATACCTTCCCCATGTTACTCAGCCCACATTACAATTTGTAAATTCCTGTTGCTTCTCTGTCTTTGTCTTATTAAACCTCCCACTTTCCTGATCATGCTGAATGTGTGTGTGTGTGTGTGTGTGTGTGTGTGTGTGTGTGTGTGTTATACATACAAGAGGGCAAAATAAAACAAAGGAGAGACATAGCAATAAAGGCCAAGGTCCAGGACTCCAGGCTAAAAAGTGAGATTTAATCATGGAATTAACCTTCTCCCCTGCACAGTATATCACAGTGCAGTCCCCGTAGAATCAAAAGGGAAGGCAACTAAAAAATCTCACAGTTCAGAAGAATCTCTAGGGATTCTAGAGATTCTAGCCAGAATATGGGAGACAAGAATAGCAGAGGAAATGCTCTGACTACAAAGATGGTACACAGTATGCAAAACATAACTCCTGGCTGGATAAACATAAAACCCTGTTAAAGGTCTATTTGTGTTACTACCTTTTATCCAGGATGACATGCTGGCTCTCATCAGAAAATTACAGGACAATCAACAATAAAAGATAAGAGAACATAGATAGAAAGGCAGTGTAAGCATCACTACCAGGCTTAGGATAGAGAGAGATGTTGGAGTTATTAGACTTGGAATGTAAATAGGTGTGGTTAATATGAAAAAAAAAGCTTTTGGTGGGAAATGGACCATCTTTAAAGCAGAGAAGTGTATGCCATTAAGGGTGATGGTAGCACACACCTTTAATCCTAACTCAGGTGACAGAGGCAGGTAGATCTCTGAGTTTGAGGTCAACCTAGTCTACAGAGCAAGATCCAAGACAACCAGGGCTACACAGAGAAACCCTGTTAAATGAGTAAATAAATATTAGCTAGCTAGCTAAGTAAATAAATAAAGGAGAAGAGTAATGTAAGCAGAAAGAACACTGTGAAGAATAAATAACTAGACATAGAGGATGGAGGTATGTGATGATATCTTGTTTGTACAAATAAAGCATGTCTGAAGATCAGAGGATAGAGCTTGC